TGCGCTGTGTGCCGGGCGCTCCTGGGGCCGGTGTATGTGATCAGTGGGCAGACATTCTAACTTAGTCTTCGGTGCTTCATCTGATGCAACCAGGAAACCTAGGTTTCCCTGTCAGTACCAAAGCTACCACAAAGTTTCCTCTTCAGACGAATTTAGTTAAAATTCAGAAAAATAAGCAAGACTTGGAAGGAAAACTAATAAATACAAGAGTAGTCACCTGGGGGTCTTCAGCCCCGGCCCCTGTCGTGAGGGCGGGAGGAGAAGCGGTAGCTTCAGAAGGGACCTCTGCAGGATCCACAGTGGACACGGCCCGGGTGCCCAGGCGCCACCCTGCCTGGACCCTGACTCCACCTTTGTGTGTGGCCTCAGCAGGAGACTCAGCCTCAGCGCTCCCACCTGCAAGCCGGAATATACTGTACTTTGTGGCAGAGTGGTGGACAGAATTCCAGGACCTCTTGATCACCAGACAGGTGTCCAGTAGGTGCCAATGCCCCACCCCCACCTTTGGGGTGTGGGCCAGCCTAGGGGTCGGGCACTGTAGTGATGAACGTAGCAAGCACACAGGTGAGGAAACTGAGTCATGAGGGTGGCACGTTGCATCACTCCAGGCAGTGGATTGTGGAGCCGCCCACTCATGCTCTGGGCTGCCCAGTCTAAGGTGTCCCGTCCAGGGGCCTGGAGAGACACGATCGAGGGTGTGCCCCATTGAGTACTTGGTGGAAACAAGATGAGGAACATCGGGTTTGTCTCAGTTCTGTCCAGGGAGGGCAGGTGCTGCAGAAGAGGTACATGTTAGCGATGCCATCGCTGTGCCCAGAGCCGCATCAGCAGCATCTCCGGGCCCCCTGGGTGGCTCTGGGAGGAAGGAGAGAACTCTTTGGGGGATGCGTGTGAGAAGATGGAAGGCTAGATGGGGTGAGGGTGAGTGAATTGGCCATGCTTCCTCGGCTGCAGAAGGCCGTGGGGTCAGCGTCTGACAGGCAGAGTTCACATCTCGCTGTTGCTGAGTCAGTGACCTGGGCGGGGTGGTTTTCCTCTGAGCCCTAGGGAGACAGGACATAGAACAACCTGACCTCTCGGGGTGACCGGCTGTCCCAGTTTGCCTGGACTGGGGTTTTCCAGGATAGTGCGCTTTCAGTGCTAAAGGTCTTGGAAAGGTCTGGGCCAACCTGGATGAGGTGGTTACCCTGTTAGCATTCGTTTTAATTGTGGTAACAATAAAAAATACAAACAGTATAGAAATTTGCCATAGCAACCATTTTTCAGTGTCCAGCCCAGTGGCATGCAGCTCATTCACACTGTCGTGTAGCCATCCCCACAGTCCGCCTCCAGAACTTCCTCACCTTCCCAAACCGCCGCTCTGTTCCCATTAAACACTAACTCCCCTCCCCAGCCCCTGGTTCCACCGCCTACTTCCTGTCTCTGTGGATCTGACTCCTCCAGGGACCTCCTGTGACTAAAGCCACACAGGATTTGTCCTTTGTGTCTGGCTTCTCTCTCTGAATGTAATGTCCTTAAGCTTCATCCACATTGTAGCAGGTGTCAGGATTTCCTTCCCTTTAAAAAAAAAGATTTTATTTACTTATTTTTAGAGAGAGGGGAATGGAGGAAGAAAGAGAGGGAGGGAAACATCAATCAGTTGCCTCTTGAACATCCCCAACTGGGGACCTGGCCTGGGTCCTTAGGCATGAGCCTGGGCTGGGAATCAAACAGGCTACCTTTTGGTTCACAGGCTGGCGCTCAATCCACTCACCCACACCAGCCAGGATTGAATTTCCTTCCTTTTTAAGGCTGAATAATATTTCATTGTTTGGATGGACCACATTTTGTTTCTCCATTTACCTGTTGACAGTCATTTGGGTGTTTCTACCTTTTGACTACTTTGAATAATGCTGCCGTGAACATGGAGTGCAAATATCTGTGTAAGCCTGGCTTTTAATCCTTTTACTTCCATCCAGAAGTGTAATCAAATGGTTCTCCACACGGCTGTCCATTTTTCATTCCCATCAGCCAGTACCCGAGGGTCCCGATTTCCCCACATTTTTGCTGACACTTAACTCCTGATTTTTTTGAGTTGGCTACCCCATTGCTACTGTTCTCGCAGTTACTGAGGTGTCTGGAGGGCCAGAGCCACCTCTGCCTGCCCCTGTCCCCTCCTGCATTGTTTCGGGCCCAGGGACAGGAGATCTGCTCTGGGAAAGCCTTGGCAGGCCCACCAGGTGCTTCCCTGGCGCTGCTCCAGCTCCTGTCTGCGCTCCAGGACACAGAGACCTCGGTCACAGCCTGTCCCCGAGGCTGCCTTTCTCCGTGGCCCTGTGCTCCACTCACGTATATCACACCAGGCAGCAGGCACTTCCTGCAAAGCAGCAGAAGGTAATTCTCTTGGGCCTCGCAGACTGGAGGATCACTGTCGGAGCTACACAGCCCTGCCATTGTGTCGTGAAGGCAGCCAGATGGGCCTGGCTTGTGCCGATAAAGCTTTTTTTATAGACCCTGAAATTTGAATTTCACATAATTTGCATATGTCAAGACATTTAATTATTTCTGTTTTTTCCCCCTCCTGATAGTATAAAAATCTGAAACTGCTCTCATCTCACGGGCTGTACAAAAATAGGCAGTGGGCTGGATTTGGTCCACAGGCCGCAGTCGGTCAGTCTGCACACCCCACACCCATTAACCTTTGTTGAATGAATTGACATTTGGTGTCCCATTAAAACACACATCCAATTAATCAGCACGACAGTGATGTGCTGTTAATGAGCGAATGGGCATTCATGATTTTTTTTTTTACTAGTCACAGATGTTGAAAATGCCACTGAAATAAATAGAAGTCACATTGGATTTTTTTCCTTAAGTCCTAAAGGATTTTGAGACAGCTTTATTGAGATAGTATTAACATACCATACAATTTATTTGTTTAATGTGTATGCTTCAATCTTTTGTGTATGTTCACAGGGTTGTGCAACCCTCAGCTACAGTTCATTTGGGAATATTGTATCCTTTCCCCAGAAGAAGCCCCGTCCTCGTCAGCAGTCAGTCCCCACTCCCCCGCCCCAGCCCCAGCCGCCTCCAGTCCACCCCGGGCTTTGAGGATCTGCAGGGCTGGCTCCTCCTCAGGCCTCCTGCCTCACAGGGGGGCGTCTTCAGTGTCCCCATTGTGCACGTGGGCCCCAGGGTCCCTCTGTGTGTTCAAAGTTCTTCTTATAGGGCACCAGTCACGAGGGATTAAGGCCCACCCTCAGGACCCCATTATAACCTGGTCAGCTCCTTAATCACTCCCAGATACAGTCACATTCTAAGGTGCTGGGCGTCGGGGCTTCAACTTATGAAACTGGGGGACACAGTTGAGCCTGCACAGTATTTTTTAGTTTTTGTTCTTATTTGTTTGAAGCGAGGAGAGGTTTAACAGAGTCAAGTGTCACTCCAAGGCACAAGAACCCTGGATTCTGAGTCATTAGGGACACAACTCAGTGGCTAAGCAGGGGCCAAAACTCACACCCTCCTGACCTCCAGCCTGACGGCTCCTTTATTCTTTTCTGTGGCCTCTGAGAGATAAGCAGCAGTAGTAACAACCATCTGGTCTGCCTGGTTCTGAGTGTTCTTGGGGGGTGCAGGGCTTTCAGTGCTAAAACTGGGATAGTCCCCTGCAAATCAGGACTAGGCAGTCACTCTCCTAGTGGCCCGGATGGGGGTCTCAGGTCAGGGAGAGGGCCCAGGAGGCCTTTGCTGAAATAAGTGCTAGGGACAAGGACAAGGTTCAGAGCACATGGTTTCTCCTGGCTCTGCTGCTGGTGGCTCTGCCACTGTCCATCAGTTTGTCCCATCTGTCCACCTGCCTGTCCATTTAGCATGTTCTCCTCTGTGTCTTGCTCTGTGCTGGTGTCTTGAGGCCACAGAGGGGAAGGAAGGCCATGGTGACTGCTATGCCGAGTGATTTCTACTTGCAGGAAAGCTGTGTTTAGAATTGGCAGCTGCGTTGTAGACCGGGCCAGTTGGGAGGCTTTGGGCTGGGACATAAAATATGAGCATCAAACTAGGGCTCCAGACCTGGGGTGGGCAGAGCCTGTAGCATCAACCCACTGCCCGGCCTGTTCTGTGGCAGGGGCCAGGGGGCCTATGAGCACACAGAGACCCCACTCCACAGGTCCCCTGCAGGGAGCTTGGAGGGTGGTGGGGCTGTCACAGATGGAGAAATGAGGGGTCTGAGCCTGATGGAGAGTGATGAGCAGGGCTCAGGGCACTTGGACTCCTCACCCTACTGCCTTTAATCAGTAACTTCAAATATTGCAAGAAAGCCCGTGGGACCTTCTCCCTACCTCTGCCCTGCGTATCTCTTGCAAGTGCTGGCCTGTGGCTGATGCCCCTCCCCAGAATCATGCCAGTGTCCAGATCTGGTCCTCCCTTGTCTTTTCCCTCCCTTCCTTCCTCCCCAGAACATAAAGTTAATCATTTTTAAGTCAACTGCTCAGTGCATGTAGTGCATTTATAATGTTGTACAACTAACACCTCTGTCCAATTCCAGGACATTCTTTTCACCCTAACAAAGCCCCATCCTCATCAGTAATCATTCCCCATTCTCCTCCCCTAGCCCCAGGCAACTACAAACCCACTTCCTGTCTCTGTGGATGTGCCCCTTCTGGACACTTCACATACATGGAACCACACACTGTGTGGCCTTTTGTGTCTGGCTTCGTTCACTGAGCACCATGGTTTCAAGGTCCATCCGCATCATAGCAGATGTCAGAGCTTCACCCTTTTCCTGGCTGAGTAATATTCCCCTGTATGATAAATCATGTCACGTTTATCTATTTACCCACCCACAACACTTGGGTCGCTTCCACATTTTGGCTGCTGTGAACAATGCTCCCAAGAACCTTCACGTACAAGGTTGTTTTGAACACCGTTTTATTTTATTTCTATTTTTTAAAAAGATTTTATTAAAAAAAAGATTTTATTTATTTATTTTCAGAGAGAGGGGAAAGGAAGGAGAAAGAGAGGGAGAAATGTCAATGTGTGGTTGCCTCTCGTGCACCCCCAACTGGGGACCTGGCCCACAACCCAAGCATGTGCCCAGACTGGGAATCGAACAAGTGACCATTTGGTTCACAGGCCAGCACTCAACGCACTGAGCCACACCAGCCAGGGCGCCATTTTAAATTCCTTTGGGTGTTCCTATGAGTGGCACCGTTTCATTATATAGTAAATTGTTTTTTTCCTTCCATAATTTCCAAACGTTCACTGGCTTTGTCCAAACCCACCTGAATTGCAGGTTTCCATTCTGAACCGAGGTCTGTGGGAAGCTACAGGTCCTCAGCTGGCTGTGGAGTGTCACCCTCGGGTCAGAGACTACCCTGTCCTCCCTTCCACCAAGACTCTGGTCCCCATTGAACCTTCCAGACTCCCTTGAGCAAAGAGAACAGTGTCTAGGGGAAGTAGGTTCAAATCCCTGCTCTGCCAAGCCACTGACCATCTCTGAGCCTCAGTCTACCCACCCTTGAAATGGGCGTAAATAATAAATGGTCTCCCTGAGGTTTTGGGGAGGGCTCAGGGAGACATGGAAGTATGTCCTTCGTGAGCATCTTGGATCATGAAAACTCAATAACCCTAAACAGTAGATATCCACTCCAGCTGCAGAGAAGGTGCTGGGGGTTTGGTAGGGGCATGGGAAGGGCAGGACTCAGCCAAGAACTGGGGCTCCCTCAGGCTTGGCTGATGTCCCAGGCCCTGCTCTGGGTTATGCTGTGCCTTCTGTTGAAAGCTGGCAGGAAATCTCCCCTCTGGGGACCCTGTGTCCCCAAGGACCTGCAGCAGCCCCGGGGTCATGTCACTGTGGGTCCAACAGGCGGAGATCAACTGCTCAGAGCTCTCAGTGCCACACCCAGAGGCCACCAATGAACTAAGGGGAGGGGACCTGAGGGTCCTTTTCAGCACCTCAAACACAAAGGCTGAACCACAACAGTTTTTTTAAAAAAAACAGGATCAGGTTTAATACTTAAGCTGCTCTGAGGTCACAGAGGCATCTTGGGGCGGGATCCGAGGCCCGGAGATGCTGAGCGGTGAGTGGGGCCTCCACTCTCACATGTGCAGACGCCCACAGGGGAGGTGGTCGCACAGTTCTCTGCTGGGATGCCGCCAGCCTGGCCGCACTGTGGCCAGAACCGTATGTGGGTCCCTCTAATCCGGGGCTACGCCCCTCCTGCCCCAGGCACACTAGGAGTGGTTCAGGAGCAAGTTCTGAATGTCTTCCAGGACCTGGTGGAGGAGCTCCTCACGAGACTTCATGCCATCCAGGTACACTGAAATCAAAAAGGCTATGGTCAGTGGCGAAACTGCTGGGCCACCAGGGCTGCCGCCAAGGGGCAGGCAGCTGGCTCAGGAGGGAGCTGACCTGCAGAATCAGGTGGCTGGAATAAAACAACCTCTGGGGCCCAAAGTAAGAGAGACTGGCAGTGAGACTTGAGGAGGGACTCCCAGGTTTCCCAAGTGGTCCCCATGGGGAGCAGCTGGGCTCAGGGTCCCCCCAGGGCCAGGCCTCATCCTACTCAGGGCCTTACCTACTTCCACGCCATTGGCCTCCATTTCTTGCTTATACTTCTGGTACATGGGCCACACGTGGCCGTCAAAGAGGCCAGGGGGATCGGGGACCTCGTATCTTCGAGTACTGGGAAGAGAGATTGGTAACAATAAGTGATGCCCATGTTGCCTGAGGGATGCGAAATAGGTCAGGGACAGCACCACTGGGAGAGGGGACCCCACTGAATCAGGGGCCATGGGGGGGCCTGGGCACCCCCGCTTCTGCCATTTTTACCCCCTGAGCCTGGTAGATGCCTAGGGAAGTGCAGCGGTGGGCCAGGCCTCCAGGTCCCTGGCTGGAGCTTCTGGAACAGAGCAGGGGCCAGCGAAGTGCCTGCTGGCTGCCAACCTGTGATTTCAGGGTGGCCTGTGTCTAGTGGGCATCACTGGTTCCCTGGGCCCGCCTGGGAAGCCAGCTAGGGCCTCCGGGCTCACCTCCTCCTCCACTTGCATTCTTCGTAGGGGACAGTCAGGAAGTACCGTCGGCTGTACAAGTCCACCAGGGGCCTGGCGGGGGTGGGGGACACAGTCAGCTCCAAGGGCCTTCCTTTGAGGGGGTCCAGGGTACACAGCCCCCCAGCCTTGGCCTCCAGGGACTTTATCGGGTGATGAGGGCTGTGGTGGGGCCTGGGATGGTTAGTGTAGGGGTCAGGGAGGGGACGAGTATCAGCCAGTCTCCTGCTATGCCCAGGAACATCCCTATAGCAGCCCCCCAATTTAGATAGGCCAAGAGAGGTGCTATGCCTTGCCCAGGGTCACACAGTGAGGCCAGGGGTCCAGCCCAGCCTCCTGCTCTGCCTGACAGGGCCGAGTTCTAGAAAGACTCAGTTTCCCCAAGAAGCAGGGGTTTCGCCTCAGACCTCTGAGCTGATCCCAGCTCTGCCCCCAACCCCTGGAGGCCCCAGACTGTCTGGGATGTGAACCTGCCACACTCACTTGTAGCTGTACAGCAGGAAGCCCTCCAGAACCAGGATGTGGGTGTCCAAGGTGTCTGGCTGGACAGCGACCCCATGGGCACGGGCGAACTTCCGAGGGTTGCTCATCCAGGCCTGCACGGTGCTCAGCATGGCCTCCATGTCCAGGGACTCCAGCACTGGGGGCAGGGAGAGTGGGTGTTGGCAGAGCTGGCGAGCTGGCAGAGTCAGGGAAAGGAGGGCCAGTGCAGACAGGGTGGTGGGGCCGTCGGCCATCCTTACCATCCCACTGCTTGAAGCCGTCCTCTCCAACTGCGATTTGGTCCTGGGGCTGAAACAGAGGAGGCCGAACCCCAGGCTCAGTGCCCGCCCTCCCACCTTCCCACCACACTGGGGTGACAGAATCTTAGTAGGCTCCTAGAGAGCCCACAATGAGGGGCCCAGGGTCTGCTGAGCTGCCTGCCCTGACCCTCTGCAGTTGGTGCCTACAGGTTCTGAGGTCCCGGGCAGGGCTCAGTCTGGCACTGGGATGCTCCCCTCCCCCGCCCCATGACTCTTGGGACCAGAAGGGAAGGAACGTTGCATCTATCCACTCGTTATCCCTCACCCTCCACAAAGCATGGAGGGCAGGTTCAGAGCCCATTCTGCAGATGAGAAAGTGGAAGTGCAAAGGGAGAAAGGGCCTGGAAGGCCACGCCTGAAAAGGGCTTGGTGGCACACCTCCTCTGGGAACTGCAGTGTCCCCATCATCCAATGGGGAGCAGGTGTCCAGTGAGAATGTGCCAGGTGCATAGTAGGTGCTCAGTAAATAAGAACGTTCATCCTTCACTTTCCTGGCCCAGGGAGACCTGTGAAGGGTCTTTGCCTGGCCCACATGGGCAGCAAGCAGCAAAGGGCAGGGTGGCCTGGGCCGGCTCCCCCACTCCCGACTCCCCGGGGTGAGCACCCACCTTGAAAAAGTCATCTTGGTGGATCACACAGCAGTTGGGCAGCACCTTCAGCAGGCTGTTGGTCAGTGTGGTCTTGCCACCATTGGTCACGCTGTGGGGACATCGAACACAGGAGGCTGCCTGGCCAGTTCCGGGGGGGGGGGTCCCTCCCAGAATCGGACTCAAATATAAACACAGAACTGTAAAGCCTCAGAGCTAAGAGGACACTGCTGTTTGCCTCGGCTCAGAGGAGGCTTTCTAAGCAGAGACAAGGGGAAGAAAGGATGAAAGCAAACAAGCAGCTAACATAGGCCGGCACATGGCGTGCGGAGCTCGGGCACCATTCAGCATCACTGCAAACTCAGGAGGTGGGGCCAGGAGCTCATTTTTACAGGTGAGGAAACTGGAATCCAAGCATGATTTAGCCCTAGTAGGGCTTTTAATTTTATTTATTTTTATTTTTTGTCAAAATGTTAAAAGAAGTGCAAACTGGGATAGAGAAAAAAACATTTGCAATAGAAAAACCAGCAATTCACTGCAAAACCAAAAGAGGCACTCAACTTTATAAACTGGTTGTAACCAAGGGGGAAAAATAGGGGAAAAAAGAAAGAAAGAAAAAAGCAATTGTCTCTGAGGATGTCTCTGCTTTTAGCACCGGAAGTCCCCAGTCCTGGAGGCCCTTCAGTGCTGCAGGGCCAGGGAACCAGGGTGGGGTCCCCTGTGGCACAGGGAACCAGACAACGGACTCCCAGAGCTGACAAAGGACCTAGAAACTTAACTATCAGGACTTTCTAGAAATGCATGTCCCTTTGACCTTCAAGGTGTCCCTGTTCTAGGAATCAAATGCAGAAAGCCAGGTGTGGAGCAGGGGAAAGCTGAAGCAAGTTAAAAGGGCCAGTGGGAAAGGGGACCCCCATGCATCCAGGGGAGCAGTTTAGAAAGCCCTGACATTAATTTAGGTGGTCACTAAAAGGCACACCTCGCCCTCAAGGTGGCTACAGAATTTGCAGGGCCCAGAACAGAATGAAAGGTGGGGCTCTCCTTCAAAGATATTGGGAATTTCAACCGGGCAATAGAGCATTAAACCACGTAGGGGAAGAGGGCCCAGGGCAACCCCGTGGGCAGGACATTCCTATCCTCAAGCCCACCCTGCTTAGGCAAAATGCTTCCCTAGCATCATCTTAAAAGGCCTGGTTATTGGTAATAAAATGAAAAATTTAAATCCCCTGGTAAGGGAGGCCCCTGACTGACAGGCGCACACACAGTCACACCAGAATGCCACTCTGGGGGACCCGCCCCTCCTGCCCACGTGCCTGCCTCCAGGCAGAGTGTCCTCCACCAAAGCTGCCCCAGACTGTTAGGAGGGTTTGCCTGAGCCTCATAAGGCTTATTCTCCCCACTGGTTTTTGGTTTTACACTGAGCATAGGGGGGAAGAGTGATTTCCCTGGAAGTTTAAAATGAGGCCTGGGGCCTAACCCGCTGAGGGCAGCACCCAGCCTCCAAGGGCACAGGACCCACACTCAGACCTTGGGCTCCAGGCCCTGCAACGCCAGGGACCAGGCAGCCCTCCATTCATTCTGCGGCCTCCTCCGTGACTTTGCCCCAGGAGGCCTCCTTCCCGCCCCTGCGCCCCGAGGCTCACCCTCCAATGCCCACAATACACTTCATCTCCATGCGGAGGGTCGGCGGGAATCGAGCTCTGCCTGCAGTCGCGCCTGGGCACTAGGTTGGGTCCAAAGCCGCGGTGCACAGCGTCCCTGCTTCATTGAGAAAACCTGGCGCCTTTATAGGCCCGTGCAGCCCGGAGGCCACCACGAGGGAGGCCCCGAGGCCTGTTGGCAGCGTTGCTCTCTCAGTGGGGGCACGTCGGCCCCCCAGCCCCCGCACCTGTTCCCACTGGATGGAAATAGCTGCACTTTGCCTTTTGCCTAAATTAGTCATGAGCCAGCTGGGTGGGGTTATGGGTAGATGTCACCCCATCTGCCTCTTCACTCCACTCTCTCCCCTCCTCTTCCCCCCTCCTAGCCGGACTGTCCACGGGGCAGATAACGGGCTACACATCTTCCTTCCTAAAAATATCCCACTCTGTGTGTCCTTCGGCCTGACCCTGACATTACGGCTGGTTCTGGTGACACTGAGGAAAGAGAAGTCATCACTCACCCCCACCCCATCACCCGCTGTAGCAGCAGCACCAGCGCCGTCCCCCCTCCCACCAACCCTCCCTGCCCCGTGGAACCTCTCCTTTCCAAGGGGGCTGTGTGCTAAGACGGGCTTAAGGTCAGAATGGTGAGTGCCAAAATAGCTGTGCTCCGGTGATCTGGTCTTCCTCCAGAAAATCTCAGCGTGACACCAGGGTGGTTCATTGAGCGCCCATGTGAGGCCGGGAGGAGTCACCGGGTTTGGTCCCGTGCCTCTCAGCAGCCTGGGGATGGGGCGGGATGGGGCGTGACCTTGCTGGTCCCTGCTCTGGACCCCTGGGAGCTGAGGGACACACTTGCCCAAGTTCAAACAACTGCTTACTTACTGGTAGAGCTGGAGAGCACGTCCAAACTGAAGCTTCCACTTTCCATGTGAGGGGCATAGTCCCCCACCTGACCTGTGTGACCTTGGGTGAGCCACTCATCTCTTTGTGCCTCAGTCTCCCCCTCAGTATTATAGTTGGGCACAGGCTGTTATTATTATTGCTATTTTTATTATTGTTGTGATATTACGATTTATAATAAGTATATATTTGGTCTTAGTCCCAGTTCCCAGCACACAGTTCCTAAGACCTTTGCAATTTCCTAAGTCATAAGAGGGGAGTATCTGCTGTTATACATTTGGACTTTTAGTCTCTGTTACTGAAATAGTTCTAGAGTGATAAAGATGGGAGAAGCGTTTTTGCTATTTGGAAGAAGCCCTTTCAAACACACCTGAGTTTATACTGATGGCGTGACTTGGGAAAGGCCTCGTAACCATGGCATGGGGGCTGGTGGTCAGGGATACCAGCAGGGGGTTAGAGGATGGAGATTTAGGAGACGGGGGCTGGGAATGGAGTCAATCACCGAAAGCGAACAATTTAATCGATCGTGCCTGTATGATGAAGCCACCACAAAAACCCCCGAAGTGAAGGGGTTCGGAGAGCTCCGGGCAGGCAGGCGAGCCTGTTTGCCTGCTGGGAGGTGGAGCCTGGGCAGGGCCTGGAAGCTCTGAGCCCCTCCCCAAACCGTGTTCTGCGCTTCTCTCCCGCCTGGCTGTTGCTCATTCTGTCCCTTATAAAGACTGCTAATGTAGTAAGTTAACTGTTTTTCCTGAGTTCTGTGAGCTGCTGTAGCAGATTACTGAACCTGAAATAGGGGGGATGAGTGGGAGCCCTGATTTGTAGCCAAGTGGGACAGAAGTGTGGGTAACCTGGGCACCCGCTACTTTGATCAGCAGCTGATGGGACAATTGTGGAGCAGAACCCTTAACATGGGGGGTCTGTGCTAACTCGAGGTAGTGTCAGAATGGAGTTAAATTGTAGAAAACTCAGCTGGAGTCTGCTGAGAATTGCTTGGTGTGGGGAAAAGACCCCACATCTAGTGTCAGAAGGGTTGGTGTAAATATAGAGAGGAAATAGTTTTCCATTTCACTAGTAATAATGATGACAATAATACATTTATAATAACACTATAGTAGTTAATATAATATATAAATATATAAAGCATAATAATTAATATACTATCATTACTATTACCTGCTGACTGTATTTGATCCCAGAAAGGACTGGGGGCAGGAAATGAACTTGAAACACAAAGAGGGAGAGTCCAAAGGGCCTCAGGAATAACCCACCAGGCCCCCTCTCTGCAGATGAGAGATGGAAGCCACACAGGGCAGGTGATGGCCCAAGGTCACCCAAGGTCACCCCAGGCACGGAGCTGTTAAAACTCTCTCCTCTGAACCTCACCCCAGACCAGAGAGGGCCACAGCCCTTGGAGATGGACAAAAATAATAACCCTCTGTTCTTAGTTATAGTTTATTTCACATAAAACCCCCCCAAAGTTTATGGAAATGATGTTCTCACATCACAACAATAACCATAATGAATTGTGGGTTTGTCTTTAAAAACCACAAAACTCCCCATGGGAAGGATGGGTGTGTGAACTTGGACTTTGGGGCAGGACTTAGGATGCCCCCCGTGTGTTACAAGAGGAAAACCCAACGTTCCTTCATGACAAGGGATCCAGGTCCCTCGCATTTTGGCCAAAACTGCCCCACAAATACAAATCTTTCAGAAAGCCAATGTCAGAGGCTGCAGATGGCAGCCTGCCTGGACGCAGTGGCCCCGTTGGGACGCAGCTGTGCTTCAGAACATCTCGCACCTGTGACAGGCGGCCGGCCTGGAGACGGCCTCCTGGGGGCGGGGTCTCTCTTTGCTCCGGAAGGGCTGCTGTGGCTGTGGTGGCCGGGGACCTTGGTTCTGCTTGCCCATTGGTTGTCTGTGGTGCTGGTGGTAGGGAGGGACGGTGGCCTCATTGAACGCGTTGAATTTCTCGTGCCGCCAGAGTCTTTATCCTGCAGGGTCCTCGTGGGCTGAATGGGCTCAGCACCTTTGTCAGTCCATCGCCGCTGCAGGCACTTAGTAATCACTAGGTGGAATAGAACGAACTGTTCCTGCCCCTTTTTGTTCCTGCAGCAAAGTGCCAGCCTATCAGGTGTTGCTGTGGTCACTGGGGTGGGAGTTAGGGCCTCTCAGGACCATGAGGGTCTCAGGTGAGCAGAGCAGGCCACCTGAACCTGGAGTTTAGGGCCTGGGACACAGGCCTTTTGGAGGCAGCCTAGAGGCCCATCCACCAACCTCGGCTGCCTCAGGCTCCAGGTGACTCACCTGGGCCCAGAACAGGGTCCCTGTCCTTATCTGACATTTGGGAAAGAGAGCAGAACCACACATTAAAAAACCCCACTCGGCCCCCGAATGTCCTAGCCTCATGGGGGCAATGCCAGGTCCCGGCCTGTGCAGGCCCAGAGCAGCTCGGAAACCTGGCAGTTTTCAAGGAGGGAGCTGCTGGCATTGGGGCAGTTCCTCGATGCGGCAAAGCGCTGGGCATCCCTTTTCTTAACACTAAATGCCACTAGATCCCTCCTGCTGTTGGGATAGCTCCAAACGCAGCCCACTGTCGCCCCGGGTCAACAGGCATTCGGCATTCCCACCGAGGCCAAGAACCTCAGGCTTGGAAACTGAGCCTCGGTGACACCCAGCTAAGAAGCCAGCTGCAGAGCCAGCAAGAGGGGCCTGGAGTGTGTGCTTGCTCAACTTTTGCTCAGACTCATAGAAATAGAGACTGTTAGGATTGGAGTGGTCTCAGAGGACCTGTTTCTGCAAGCACTGTCCAGTCTTTACTTAAATACCTCTGGAGATGGGGCACTCACTACCTCTAGAGGCCGCCTGATTGGTGTTTAGCCCACATTAGGAAAGACTGTCTCCTTTGAATGCAGGTGGCTATAGCGTCCATTCCACCGGGGTTTGTGTTTCTAGGTGGCCTTTGAAACAAACAAACATCCAATACCCTGTATCTTCCTTTTTCTTGGTCTGTGTTCCCGAAATGAACCTATTTCAGAGCCAGCTTCTCAGCCTTGGTGGGAACCCAAGGGGTACATCCCAATCCTGCATCGGGGAGTTTGGAGAAGTGGGGACAACTCATTCCCTTATGAGGTATTGATCGGATTGCCCTGTGGCACGGCATCTGTGTTAAAGGGGCTTGAGAATGTTCTAGGTTGAGAGAGTCTGTGATTTTGCGAGTGTAGGACAAGGATGAGCAGCGGCAGCTCTCGCTGGTGCTGTGAGCTCCTGCTGTCACGTCAGGTGTGGGTGTCCTCAGAGACAAAGGGGGCCAGTCAGAGGAAAAGTCATAAGGTTGAAGGTGCCCAGGGCACAGCCCTACTGGGGAGCCGAACTTCCTGGCCAGATGCCCAGGACTGCGGGGGCCACTCTGGGAGGAAAGGCACAAGAACGAGTTCCAGATCCAGCCAGGGAGCTGGTGGGCATCTATGGCTCCAACCTCGGCCAGGTGTCAAGCAAGAGAAGGGTCTTAAACCAGGACTTTGTGCAGTGGTAGGGGACTCTGAGGCCACCCAGGACACACAGGCCCCGTGCTTCTCTCTTCTCCGCTGTGAGCTCACGAGTCTGGAAGGGTGAAGGGCTGAGAATTGGATTCTTTTCCAGAATGCACGACTACTGCATCATTTTAAAAAATGTTTTCAAGCAGCTAAAAAGGATGCTGGGTTCAGAGATGGGAGGAGGAAGCAGGCACCCTCCGAGGGCCGGGGCTCGGGATGAGGTGAGGATGAGGTCCAGGGCCAGAGGGCGTCTGACAGGTTCCTTGGCGTCTGGCATTTCCCTCCGTGTTCTCTGCACTCCCGTCACCTCAGGACATGCTGGAGAGGGAAAAGCACAGGCCAAGTTATCACTGGTTTTGTTCTTCTTTTATTTGAATTTTTTATAAGAGTTTATCTGAGTCAAACTGATGATATACGCCAGGAAGCACAATCTGAAATGCTCCCTGTTATTGTTTTTTAAAGAAAGTAGAAACTACTGTCCCATGGGTGTGGGATCCAAAAGCATGGTGTCATCTAGCTTTGCTGCACCCTTAGCAGCAAGGGTGGCAGCTGCCCTTCAAGTTCTGCCACCTGCCACCCACCTTCCAGGTGTGGTTCTGAAGGGGACCTCTGTCTTGGTGCCCCCGCAGAACAGACCTCAGGGCTGGCACCCTCAGTCAGACTGGAGGGAATCTATCCACACCCCATCCACACCCCACTACCCGCCCACCCACTGGTCCACTTATCTATACCTCCATCCACCCACCCATCTGCCCTTCCACCTACCCATTCATCATCCATTCACATACCCATCTATCCAACCCCCATCTGTCCATCATCTCGTACAATTTCTTCTTTTGTGCCTTTAATCATTTGAATCATTTCTACCTGAAGATACACAGGAGGGGGTCTAATTCTGTTGATTGTTGCATCTGCTAACTTTTCCTCAGGGTGGATGATATCCTGGTGGGTTTTGTGTCTGGATGCAAACTCATCGCCAGAAGGCGTTGGATTGAGATGGTCTTTTCAAAAATGCCTTGAGAACTGTGTCTGCTCAGTGTCCCCATGGCAGTACTGGTCTAAGACCATTTTTGATGTTTACTTTGTAGCTCGGGGCTTCCTGCACCACATGGGTCGTATTAAGGCATGTTGCAGATTTGTAGGAGAGAGTGTGGTCAAGGATTAATGCCGCACATTCGAAAGAAAGGTGTGGCTCTTACTCAGCTCCTGGGAGGCCACCCCTGAGTCCTGGGAATGTCCTGCCTGATAAGAGTGACTTTGTTTACCTGAGACTTGGGTTTACCTTAGATAGGCTATGCTAACCAGGTGTCAGGCATGTCGGATTGGCCTCTCCAGGGGCTAGAAGGAAAGTCAGCTACGTGGGCAGTTAGCTGTGCATACGTGACTGACCCCGCCCAGTAGGTACCCTGGACACACCCTGGACACCAAGGCTCAAGTGAGTGGCATCCCCAGTTGGAACACTTCCTGCGTATTGCCCACCTTTTTGCTGGGGGAATTAAGGGCTGTCCCATTGCTGATTTTCACCCAGATCCATCCTCCCATTGTAATGAACCATAATCATGAGCATAGCAGCTCTGCCAAGTTCTGTCAGTCCTTCCAGCAAATCACTGGACCCAAGGCAAGTCTTCAGAGCCCTCAACACACAAGAAGGCTTTTCCTGGCACGGAGAACCAGACAGAGACGTGAAGACAGGCCGTGGGCAGGCCGAGTTTGGCTGGGGTGGGCTCCACTCAGGACATTTCACACAAAAAAGGCTCCAAGATCTCTGTTTCCTACCCACCTTGTTTCCTGATCTTCTGTGACTGGAGCAGACCTATGGAAGAGAGAAGGAGTCTTAACATCATTTGCCCACTTTTGAGAGGCTTGGCATTTGTCTTTGAGCCTCACGATGGCTGGCACAGCTTCATCTTTATCTGGCACAAAGCAAGTGTCAGCGTGTGTCTCTGAGAGACACATGAGCCAGGGCAGGCAGTCATAGGAGACCGGCCAAGACCCTTCTCTAAAGCAAAACAAAGCCACTAATGTGGCTCAGGACCCACCAGGCCCGGAGAGGCCAAACACACCCACAGGGACTTGCATGAAGGTCACCTACTAGGACCTTCACCTGCGACCACAGCTTGGTCCCTCCGTGGCATCAGCTGCCCTTGGTCCCTGTGCTCGGCTTGTGCTGAATGCCCGGAAGAGGAGAGGATGGTCCCAAGGTAGGGCCACTGCCCTTGGGGAGCCCGAGGGCAGGAGAAGGATCGAATGCAGGAGGCAGACCTGACGGACAGAAAAGTTGGGAGGGACCTCTGGGGCGAGGGAGGGGATGGGGGGACAGAGCCATGCTGCTTGTCTACACGCCCCACGGGGAGACCGAAGGACTTTCAGTAGGTATTTGGTGGGTTAAAAAGAAAAAAAGAAGGTGGAGGGAAGGAATAGGAGCAGCTGCTTCAGAGGCACAGGGTATCCTTCTGGGCTAAACTAGAAAGAGGGACGTTCTGGAACTAGAGAGGAACTGCCATTGTGATGCACTAAATGGTGCACTTTAAATGAGTCCTTGCCTGGCCCTGGCTGGTGTGGCTCAGTGGATTGAATGCTAGCATGCAAGCCAAAGGGTCGCCGGTTCTATTCCTGGTCAGGACACATGCCCAGTTTGTGGGTCGGGTCCCCAGTGGGGAGCTGTGTAAGAAGCAACCACACACTGATGCTTCTCTCCCTCTCTTTCTCTCTCCCTTCCCCTCTGTCTAAAAATAAATAAATAAAATCTTTTAAAAAAGGAGTCATTGTGTGTTTTGTAAATTTTACCTCAATTAAAAATAGGTGAGTGAGGGGCGCTGGCTGGGTGGTTCAGTCAGTTACAGTGTTGACCCAATACACCAAGGCTGTGCGTTTGATCCCCACTCAGAGCCCATCAAGAATCAACCAATGAAAGCATAAATGGCTGGAAAAACAAATCAATGTTTCCATCTCTCTACCCCTTCATCTTTCTCCCTAAAATCAATCAATAAAAATGAATACAAGAGCCTGTATTTATTTTCCACCAAGGGAGCTGGTGTGGCTCAGTGGATTGAGTGCTGGCCTGTGAACCAAAGGGTCACTGGTTCGATTCCCAGGCAGGGCACAGGCCTGGGCTGCAGGCTAGGTGCCCAGTTGGGGGGCGTGTGAGAGGCAACCTACTGATGTTTCTCTCCCTCTCTCCGTAAAAATAAATAAAAAATAAAATCTTTAAAAAATAGTGAAGAGAAACAACTCTTTCAATAATAACATATGTATATTTTACAATAAATAAGTGAGTGACGCCAGCCCAGGAGGCGGGCAGGTTCCAGAAGCACTCGCCCCACGGACCCCGCCCGGGCGGTTACCGAGTTCTGTTTACAGGTCGTCCAGTGCAGGCGCACCGAGCCCTGAAATGTGGCAGGTGTGACCGGGGATCAAATTTCTAAATTTTATTTATATTAATTCTTTACATTGAAATAGTGGCCTCTGAGAGTGGCCCCCTGTGGGACAGCACGGGGTGCAGGGAAGAGTGACCCCAACACTGAGCATTTACGGTACAGCAGCATCGCGCTGGCTGGCTCACACCTGTGTCTGTGCCTCTCCATCCTGATAACATCGGCATCAGGAAAACACGGTACCACCAGGGTTGCTTTTACGGGGCACTCGGTGGGCTTGGCACCCCTCGCTGGGTGTCAGCCCCCATGGGTGGTCAGTTGCAAACTTACCTGTGCTCTGCTGGTGCCGCCTCTGGCTTCTCTTCTGGCCTGGGCAGGACGAACTCCGGCTGTGGCCTTGCACTGGAGACAGAGAGAGGTGACTAGAGATGACAAGGTGGTGTGAGCAAAGGGGCTCGAGGTTCCCATTGGCCTCTCTGGCCCGGGGCTCACCGTGCCCGAGGGCAGCTTGGACAGCGTTTTGCTGCCCCAGCAAGTGCTGGGCCCGGGAGGGTGGAGAGACGTGATCGCCCAGAGGTTAATGAAGACCAGGCAGCTGTGAAGAAGGGGTGTGGGCGCGGACAGGGGAGAGGGAGAGACCGGGAACCATTTCCCTGGAGCATGTATCTCGGCTTATCACCCGGGAGGCATCTCCACGTGTGTTCCAGGGATGCGGTCGCCCCCTGCGCTAGGACTCCAGAAGGTGGGTGCCCTGCTTGCGTTGTTTCTGTGCCTGTTCATAGCTACAGCTTGGGAGTCAGGAGAAGCACAACTCAGGGACAGAGAAAGAGAGAGAGACAGAGGCAGAGAGAAACAGGAAGAGAGAGATGGAGGGAGGGAAGGAGGGAGACAGAAAGAAAAAGAACAAGGAGAGAGTTACTACTACTTCACATCCATTATGTGGCTACTATTATAAAAACAGAAAGTAATGACAAGGATGGGGAGAGACGGGAACTCCATGCCTTGCCGGCGGGAATGTAAAATGGTGCAGTCACTGTGGAAAACAGCATGGTCCCTCTCCCAGGAGGTCCCTGGAGGAGTCAGATCCACAGAGGAGGAAGCAGACGGTGGGGCCGGGGTGGGGGAGGGTGGGAGTCAGTGTGTGATGGGGACAGAGCGTCAGTGCGGGAAGGTGAGAGGTTCTGGACACGGGTGGTGGGGACGTACTTGTGGCCACTGAACAGTGCACTTAAGAAAATAGATAAAATGGTGAACCTTACATGTAAATGTTATTGCAAGTCAAAAAATATTTTTTAGTTAAAAAATTTTAAATTACAGGACAGAAGGAAAGAGGAGAGGGAGGGAGGAAGGAAGGGAGGAGGAAAGAAGGGAGGAGGAAAGAAGGAGCGAAGAGCTAGGAGAGGAGTGAGGAAAAATTACCGAATGGCCAGAGATGGCGACCCCCGCCTGCCCCTCAGCCTCACCTCCCCTGTGCGGCCCTCTGTCACATTAAATGACACTGTGTGACCCCGCTATACTTTTGCTCATCATGTGTCTCATCTGCCAACATCACCCCTCCCTGTCCCCAGGGCCCGCTTTCCTCACTGGGTGAGATGTCATTCTCTTTTGCCATTTAAAGGAACTTCTGGTCTAGGGCTCTATCTTAGTTGCCTCTGTGACCCTGTGTTCTCCCACAGGGCCAGGCAATGATACATACTTCCCACCCACTGAGAGCCCCACCTCTCTCACAGACTTGCTATGTTGCTGTGGGCAGGTGCCTTGCCCTCTCTGAGCCTCAGATACCCAGGCTATAAGATGCTGTCAGCATCCTGGACTTCCGCCAAGATGGAGGCGTAGGTGGAAGCACTGTGCCTCCTCGCACAACCAAGTTTAAAATCAACAAAGTTTTTGCAACAAAAATGCAGCCAAACCACAGAAAATTGAACTACACGGAAGTCTTACAACAACGAACCCTTCAGCCAAACCAGTAAGAGGGGCAGAGCCAGCAGTAGAGCTGGGTCAGGCAGGAAAGAGCCACCGGATCAACCCGGGTGTGCGACCCAGGCACATCAGCAGCCGTGGGCGGATCCCAGGTGTGGAGAAGTGGGCGGACCCACTGAGGGTGCAAGGTGGTGGACTCACTGAGGGCTGCCCGCGGTCACACATTTGCGCTCAGATAAACCGGTGAAGGAGCAAGCAGTGAGACAGACCGAGCAGGCCCCAGCGGCGAGAAGTGGCAGAGGGGACCGCCATTGTCCCTCTCTGACCCCACCCCCACATATAGCGTCACAAAACAGTGACGTGGGTAGCCCCGCCCTGGTGAACATCTAAGGCTCCTCTCCTCAAACATAACAGGCACAAACAGATCAAAACATGGCTCAAGAACAACTCAGAGCCCCAGAGCCCATAAATCTAAGCGACCACGAAATAGCCAAACTTTCAGATGCACAGTTCAAAACACTGGTGATCAGGATGCTCACAGAACTGGTTGATTTTAGTCACAAATTAGAGGAACATATGAAGGCTAAACTAATTGAAATGAATGGTAATGCACAGGAAACCAATAGTAATGGAAAGAAAACTGGGACTCAAATCAAAGGAGTGGACCAGAAGGAGGGAAAAAAATGACCAAACAGAAAAGAATGAAGAAACAAGAATTCAAAAAAAGGAGGAGAGGCTTAGGAACCTCCAGGACATCTTTAAACATTCCGACATCCAAATTATAGGGGTACCAGAAAGGGAAGAGGAACAGCCACAAGTGGAAAACTTATCTGAACAAATAAGAAAGGAGAACTTCCCCAATCTGGCAAAGAAAATAGACTTCCAGAAAATTCAGGAAGCTCAGAGAGTCCCAAAGAAGTTGGACCCAAGAAGGAACACACCAAGGCACATCATCATTATATTAGCCAAGATTAAAATCAAGGAGAGAATCCTAGAAGCAGCAAAAGATAAGGGAACAGTCACTTACAAAGGAGTTCCCATCAGACTGTCAGTGGATTTCTCAAAAGAGACCTTACAGGCAAGAAGGGGATGGAAAGAAGTATTCCAAGTCATGAAAACCAAAGACCTACAACCAAGATTGCTCTATCCAGCAAAGTTTTCATTTAGAATGGAAGGGCAGATAACGTGCTTCTCAGATAAGACCAAATTCAAGGAGTTCATCATCACCAAGCCCTTATTATATGAAATGTTAAAGGGACTTATCTAAGAAAAAGAAGGTAAAAAAAGATGAACAGTGAAAGGACAGCAAACTCACAGTTATTAACAACCACACCTAAAACAAAAGCAAACTAAGAGGACAGCTAGATCAGGAGCAGAACCATAGAAATGAAGATCACATGGAGGGTTAGCAACAGGGGAGTGGGAGGAGGAGAAGGGGGGAGAAGTTACAGAAAATAAGTGGCATAGACGATAGGTAGAAAATAGATAGGGGGGAGGGCAAGAATAGTATGGGAAATATAGAATCTAAAGAACTTGAGACACGTGGTCATAAACTAAAGGGGGGATGGTGGGGGCGGGGGTGCAGGGTGGAGGGGAATGAAGGGAGGAAATAGAACTGTAATGGCATAATCAATAAAATATATTTAAAAAAAGATGCTGTCAGCATCCTGGGCCTGCCTGGCTCTTGGGAGGGATGTGACAGTATCCAGCAGATGGCACAAGGGCTCCATAACTGGGTGGGACCAGACTAGCCCTGAAGGTCTGTGACAACCATGAACACGGAGCAGATAAGGCTTTAAAGGGGCGTGTCTGGGCCTCTCGGGGTGAGTATGGAGCTGGTGCTGCCTCTGTAAGGGGGGAACTTAGCTTCGTCATGATTGCCCGAGAGTCCACTATTTTTGCTAACTTTGCTACACTGTTCCTAATTTTTCACAATAACCTCCAAGGTCATTGTGAGCTTTTTATTTGCCTAATGTCCTTCTGTGACTAAGTGGGGAAACCTGGATTTGAACTTGGGTCTGACTCCAAGTCCTCAAGAGAAGAGCAGGGCCTCAGGTGTGACATCGGTCCCTGCTGAGCCACAGCCCCTGGCTGCCCCCGCGTGCCAGCCCAGCTCAGCGCCAGCCCGGACCCGCCCTGACAGGGCCACTCTGTACAGACCTTTCTCTCCTGGCCTTGAGCCTTTCCTCTTCATACCTGGAAGAGAGAAGGAGCCACATGTGAGACACAGCCCTTCTTTCCCTGTAGGCACTGCCTGGGAAGTTCTGGATATAAACTAGGCTTCAGAGTGGCAAGTGCAGCCGGAGCTGACAGTCTGCTGGCCTCTCCATGCTCCCTAAGCTGCTTTGCAAGCCCCCTGGAGCAGGGAATATCTGTTTTGTTGGCATACTCCAGCATCTGGTGTAGATGCGACCCAGCAGGCATTTTTTGTCTGATCCACTGATTGAAAGGTGCCATTGTAACGCAACACACTCATTGACATGGGTTGGTCTACATACCCCTCCACCAGGGCAAAGTATTTCTGCAAAGGGTTGGAGAGTAAATATTTTCAGCTTTGCAGGCCAGTCTTGGTTGTACTAACTCAATTAATTTGCAACTTGAAAACAGCCATAGATGATCTGTTAAGAAATGGGTGTGGCTATATGCCAATAAAACTTCATTTATAAAAACAAGTCATGAGCTTGCTGGCCCTGCCCCGCACTAGATCCCCAGGCCCACAGTATTCTCTAATCTCACATGCTCTTGTTTCACTGATTCCCTCTGTCCTGCTGCTCCCCCACTCATATCTGGTTCCTGGGTGGCCTTGTTCAGCTGAACAAGGGGACCTCAGGTGCTTGGGAGCGCTGAGGATGCTGGTGGGGGCGCATAAAGGACATGGGGACACTTACTGTAGCACGCAGTCTGGGATTTGCACATGTTCCATGGGGATGAGCTGCTCCAGGTCTTCCAAGCTGTGCACGTACTGGATCTTGTTGATGAATTTGACGCTACCAGGAAGAGAAGGAGGTGTTTGTCCAGAGCCAGGAGGGGCGGGCACACGTAACCTGATCCGAGGATACCCTGAGCAGCTGTGCTCAAATCCCCCTCCCTGCCCAACACCAGCCCCCACTACCTGCCCCTACTGTGGTGGACAGAGCAGAGCCTTGGGTCTCCCCGCAGGAGAGGAGAAGGATCCCCGGGTGTGTTTCTGACCCCGACCCCTGCTGAGCTGGTTTAAAGGAAGCAGAGCAGCAGGAGGTTCTACCAGACTCTAGGCTGTCTCTCTCCATCCGCCCTAAGAAGTGCCCCGCTGTGTCAATTTTCCCAAGAATGCCTTCCTGGCACTCTCATCACCACTGGGGACCACAGGCACCATTTGGGCACAGAAAGGCAAACGTGGGGCTGCTGACTCCCCTCCATTCTCTCGGGACGAACAGAGTCTCGCTGTTGGAACCCGGACTCAGGCTGAGTGGCACCAGGCAGTGCTTTGGACTCACGGTTATTTATTTATTTATTTTTTAATTTTAACTGAAACCTAATTTTGGTGATACATAAAATGCACCTTTTTTCCAAGGGAAAATGAGATTTTGTAACAATGAGAAATGTCACACCAAGGGAATGGAACAGTACAATACATAAGAAAGCAATCCAGTAACAGTAAAAAAAGGTAAGATAGAGTGAGATGTCTACAGGGTATGTCAAGAAGTTTTGTTACGTGTTCACCGTTTTGCCCAGTGGGTTTATCGTTAGCACAAATGATCCATAACTAGTGTATTATGTACCTGCTTTCACTAAGCACAGACCCTGAAGCCGCCTTCTTGCAAATGCTTCATGCTGTGAGTGTCTTTCAAGGCCAAGTGTGGCCCTGACTCTTAAACTCATCACAGATTCTTGACTGGGAATGTGGAAAGGAAGGATCTTGATCCAATTCAGTGTTTGGAGTGATATTAAATTAAATATACATTCAATGTTTAAGTGATTGACTACAGCATTTAACATGCTAAATTTTGCTTTCCTTGATCTGGGTTTCCAGGGGCTTCTATATTGGTCAGTAAAGGGGGAACCCAGCAGGCTTGGCGTGCCCTTCCCCTGCACACTGCAGGGGAGACCTGGGCTCCCGGTGCTCGTGGGCAATTACCTGGAAGCCTAGACTGGTCCTGCCTGGTAAGAGTGTCTTGGGTCGCCCAGGGCCTGGGGTGCTGCCACGTAGTCTGTGACTCATGGTGGGGGCCTTGGGCCATGTAATGCCAGTGTGACCTCCCGAGTGCCTGGAGACCGAGTGACTAGGGTGGGCCACTTGGTCCTCCGTTCCCGGATGCCAAGGTGGGCTTCCTGGTGGGCGGCACTCCCACATGCTGTCCCGCATCCCTGCTGGGAGAGCTAAGGGCTTCTGGCACGACTCTGCTGGGAGGGGACAACTGGAAGCTCATTTCTGGTTCCTCCTAGACTCCCATTCGCACCCTTTTCCGTAGCCAATCTTCATCTCCACCCTCCTGCTGTAATAGACCGTACCCGTGAGTGTAGCAGCTTTTCTGAGCTTGGTGAGTCCTCCCGCTGAGTCACCAATCCCAAAGGGGGTTCACGTGTCGGTTCACTGAGTTATTTTATTGCCAGGAGTAGGTCAGACCCTCCTGGCACCCTAATGGCCCCTACACAAATTCTGGAGTGGACAGAGCTGGGTTCCTTTCTGAGGGAGGGCAGGGGGCTAGTGACCTGGCTGGGTGACTCTGGGCGAGTTCCTTGACCTTTCTGAGCCTCAGTTTCCTCATTCTTGAATGTGTGCGATTGTGATCGCACCAGCCTCTCAGAGCTGTGGTTGCAAATGTTAAAAGGTATCCAGCATTCAACGTGGGGGAGCCAGTTATTGTTTTCTGCATGTTTGTTGCTTTATAACCAAACCTGTGATTGAAAATTGTTTAAAACGATAATATGTATTTAGCGTAAAGAAGCTGGGAAATGCAGATTAAAAAAAAAAAAAAGACTGACAACAGCCCACATGGGAATCAGGACGCAGGTCATACTCTCACCTGATGAAAGGGCGGGAGATGGCCAGCACGGTGCGGATGAACCAGGACGGGTGGACGATGATTAGGGACTTCAGGTTTTTCCGTAATCTGTGTGGGAAGGCAGAGGAAGCAAGGTGGGCTCCCGGGGGCAAGCCCTGGGGATGGAGGGGCTCACAGGTGTTGCCTCCTCTGGACCCCCGTAGGTGCCATGATTTTACAGGGGGAGGCAGAGTCTCTGTGAAGCTAAGCCCCTTGGTGGAGTCTGCAAGTGGCAGAGCTGCTTCTCTCCTGCATGAGAATCTGAGTTTTTGACTGCATGGCCACGCCATCTCCCGTTCCTGAAAGTTTTTCAGGGGCACCCTGGTTCTGACCACCTATGTGGTCTTGTTGAATTGTGTTTCCCCGCCAATACACATGTTGCAGCCCTAACCCCTGGGACCTCAGGATGGGACACTGGAAAATAGGTTATTGCAGAGGTGATGATTTCAGCTGAGGTCACACGGGAGCAGGGTGGGCTCCAACACAAGATGAGTGGTGTCCTTGAAAAAAGGGGAAATTGGGACATAGACACACACAGGGAGATGCCACATGGAAATGAAGGCAGAGATTGTGGTGATGCACCCACAAGCAAAGGGACGCTGAGGACCGCCAAGGGCCACTGGGAGCTGGGAGAGCCCGGGCAGATGGTCCCTCGGGGCCCCGGAGGAACCAGCCCTGCTGACGCCTCAGCTCCGGGTCCCCTTGCACCTGCGGTGGCCCCCAGCCCTCCTGCTCACCTTCTGTCGATCATCTGGTAGCACTTCTTCAGCCAGCTGATGCCCGGCATCCTCCGCCGGGGGGTGGCGCCGTTCAGGTACACGATCATGTAATCCTCTGCCACCAGCAGTTCCAAACTGCTGATGACATACCTGGTCACAGGGCACGGACGAAAGGGGGCCCAGTGAGAGCAGCCCAGGGTTAGAAAGCCCCAGGTCCTGCAGCACCTGCCCCCTTTGCCATCCCGTGCCCCGCCGTGCCCGCCACACCTGTTCGGGAACCGCTGGCTGTCCTGGCACACTCGGGACGCGGTGGGCGTGAACAACCCCGGCCCACCACAGATTTGCGTCGGTGGGTGTAACAGCTGTGGTGGTTGCACTGAGTTGAGCATTTACTACGTGCCATGTTTTACATGCATGACTCCGCTTAACGTCTCCGCTAATTCTGGGGGTAGGGCTCCATAGCCCCAGATACAGGTGGGGAACAGGCACCCACAGCAGACGGTCCACTACACTGGACATTAGGGACCCGAGGTCCATGCCGGCTCCATCTCTCCCTGAGCAATTTCAGACAGATCTTTGCCTTTCTCAGCCTCTACTTTTCCACCTGTAACTGGGGAGACTGGGTTCTCCCATATCTCAGCCGCTTCCCATTCCGACCTCCCACAGGTACCTCCTCGTCCTCTGCTCCACCTGGCACCCAAGCCCCCCTGTGTAAGAAGGAAATCGTCATGGTAATGACAATGAGGAATCATGGTTTACTGAACTCTTACTGTTATATTCCAGGTGCTTTATATGTATTATCTTTCTCTGTCATAATAAAACTGTGCCCATGTCCTTGGGCGAGTGACTTACTCTCTGTGCCTCCGACTCTGCCCCTGGAGGAGGGGCGGACCCTACCCCGCAGGGCTGTGGTGAGGGTGGAACGCATTATCACATACGTGGTACTTAGCTTCGTGGCCGCCACACAGAAATACTCAATAAATGACAGTGATGATGACAGTTGCACCAAGGAGGCCCACTGCGTGAGCAGGGGACTCAGATCCAGGCCTGCTGGTGGCCCAGCCCCTCCCTGGTGCCAGGCAGTGCCCCCTCCCAGCATGGTTCTTGCAGGCTGGCCCAGCCCACTGCTGGGACTCTCGGAAATGCTGGCAACCAGCACGGAGCAGGCGGACCACTTACAGGAAGAGGTGCTCCATGATGTAGTGGTAGTCGGGGGAGCTGCTGTCTGGGAGGAAGCAGGCCGCAAACACGATGATGGCATTGAGACCTTCGCCATAGTACCCTGGGGAGATGCAGCCAGTGAGTGGGCCCAGGCAGAGGTGGGCAGAGCCCTCCCTGGGCTTCCAGCTGCCCCGTGCCCCTGACCTGGCTCTGCCTTTGGTACGGAACACCAGCCACTCTCATTGGCACCCTCGTCGGCACCCCTGCGTGCACCAGCGCCCATGCTGCGTCCCCGTGCAAGTTCCACCCTCGCCCACCCAGAGACGTTTGCTTAACATCCCATGGCTGGTGAAGAGCCTGGGGTTCAGAGAGGGCTGCTGACCGGAGGGCTCTGGTGGCTCAGCTGCAGCCGAGAGGGGCCCTGGGGTGTGGTCTCACCTCCGTGGGTCACTACCCTCATGTAGGGACGGATCATGTGCAGGTCGATGCGGTGCTCTTGTTCTCCGATGATCACCGTCCGCCACAGGCGCCCATTGGCAGCTCCGCCATCCTCCGCCGAGCCGTCCCCAAACAGGTCTGCACTGTCCCCAGGCATGTTCTTGGCAGCAGCCACGGGGGTGTCATCTGAAAGCGGGCCAGGGGGTGAATGGAAGGGACACCTAAGTCGAAGTCTTGTCCCAGGCTCTCCCAGCCGCCTTTGCTGCCTGTGGCTGCAGAGCCTGCACTGCTCCCCGGGCCACAGGCAAAACACTCATCCCACGCTCCACTCAGGACAGTGTCAGCCTGAGGCTGTTGGGGAAAATGGGGGACCTGGGAGACAAAAAGTCACTCCCGCAGGATTTGTTTTCAAGCCCTGGGATCCAGAAAAATGCTTGGGGTGGATGCTGGGCACTTGACCAGCTAAGAGGAACTCATCTCTGTGGACAACAACTTGCTGTGTGACTTTGCACACGGTTTCTCCTCTGGGCGCATCTGTCCTTCACAGGGCTCTCGGCCACTCTGAGAGTACCCGCCTCTTTCCCGGACTCCATTCTGCAGGCTTCCTGCTCCAGGAAATGGCTCAGCCACACTCCCAGCTGCTCAGGCCCCCAAGCAGGCATCATCTGAACTCCCTCTGCCCTTTCTCTTCCACACCTGCCCGCAGGCCTGCGGCTCTGCTTCCATCCCCATGGCCACCAGCACCACAGTCTTTCTCGCCTGAACTGTGCTCTTGTCTCGTTGTCAGGTCAACTAATACCTACTCAGCGAAACCTGAACCACCTTTCAAGAGGAGCCCCCACCCTCAGTGACTCCAGCTCAAGGCGTGTCACCCTGAGTACTTTTGATATTTGGGGATGGATCACTCTCAGTGGGGGGCTGTCCTGGGCACTGCAGGGTGTTAAGCAGCATTTCAGCCTCCACCCTGAGTCCTGACAACCAAAGGTGAAACCGGACATCGCCAAGGGCTCTCTAGGGGGCAGAATCAACCCTCCGGGAGACAGCCCCTCCCCACTCTATGCCATCACCTCGCCCAGTGACAACCAGCTGCAGTGGCCTCGCGCACATTTATTATCTAGCATTCATGTCTGACCCCTATGTGCGCAGGTGGGCACCACCATCTATTCCTTCCATGTTCCCTCCACATCCCATCTCAGCTGAGACCGGCTCCCGAGTAAATGCTCCACAAACACTTGTGGAATCAGTTGGAGGCACTTCCTTTTGGCATTGGTCACCCTCGAGAATAATACGTATGGAGCTGCAGCGGTAGGCAGACCCTCCTGGTGCTGTTTCGTGAGCCCGGGGTTAGGACACCTGCCCCGCCTGAGCCTGTGGGAATGGCAGGATTGCTCTAGGGGGCTGGCCTGGGAAGCCGCCGGGGGTGCTGAGTGCAACCTGGGGCCACTCAGGTGCCGTGGGCAACCCTCGAACTCACCTTCCCACTCCAGCTCATTGCCATTCCCCAGGAACTCCAGTGAGTCGGTCTCATCAGGGGTCTCGATGTCATCCACGTTGATGTCCAGGTCATCAGGGGTGTCCAAAAAGTCATCGGACAGCAGGGAGCCCTCACTCTGATCCAGGGAAATGTTGATCTCTGGAGCGACCAGTGTCTTCCGCTTACGGTGGGCTCCGTTGAAGTTCAACGTGTTGGGAGGGGCTGTGGAGAAACAGGAAAACAGAAACAACAAAACCAGACAAAATAGGTGCTTCTTCTTTCTTTTTCCTCCTCTCTACTTCCTGACCTGGTGGGAGCTGCACCCCATTGTGTGGTAGGCTCACTACCTATATTTAGTAGATGAGAAATAGGAGGCCCAGAGAGGCTAAGCAACCAGCCCAAGGACACACAGCAACACTGCTGTGCTGACTTCATGATGGTGCCCACGTCTCTTGCCCAGAACAGCCGCTTGCCTTGCAGGCCTCAGATCAGAACAACCCAAGCCCCTTCTCTGACATTCTCCCCAGGAGTCAAGGCCACCGGGATTTCTGCAGTCCTGGGCCCACTGAGACCCGAAAAGAGCACCCCCATTTCTGCACACATGGAAACTCACAGGACGTGTCTTCCGCTGGACTGCCAAGCGAGTCCATCCCCGTCTCTTCCCGTAATGGCCTGCGAACCCAGCCAGGAGGGGACATTACCAGGCACCGAAAATCCAGCCATTGGAGCGTGGAGTTCAGACACAACAACAAAAACAAAAGCAACAAAACTCGCTTAGTTCTGGGAATTGTGGGGAAAAAATACGCCTGGGCATCAGCACAGAAAACCATGCAGTCCCAGCGCCAGAGGCTCCCTGCAGACAACCTAGTGTATGTCGTCTTTATTTTGTTTGTGATGGGGAAGCCGAAGCTGAGGGAGAGGGGGGTCTCTTCCTGTCACACAGTTTTACACACTCAGATGTGAGCCGCGTTTTTTATGAGGTGACTCTGCAGGGTTCAGTCTCTGGTGACTTGTCGTCGCTGTTAATGCAGGAAGGAGTTACCCAAGGGACACAGTGGTCGACCGGAAGAGGTCTCCATGGCCGACGCTGGGGCAGTTCAGGCAGCATCGACAAAACAATCACAGAGTATTGGATGGTGAGTTAAAGTGTAAAATAAAATGGCCGTGAGACTATACGGGTATAAATAAATAATTGAAGAAATAAATATAGGGGAGAAGAGACAACTTTTCTGCACAGAATTCCAAATAACGTATGTAGATTCTCTGCCCTCGGAAGATGGAAAATAACTCCCTACTCTTTAATGTGGGCTGGACAGAGTGGCTTCCTTCCAAACAGAACAGCGTAAAAGGGGACAGAGTGACTCCACAGTGCAGAGGCCTGACCAGCACACTCCAAGAAGGGATCTGGTCAACGTCAACAGTGGAAGTCATGGTGACACGCGACCCTGGGCACGGTGGGACGAGAAGGGCCCTTCACTGTGGTGTCTCCCTCCAGAGCCCACCCCTCTGGTCTAGCCAGGAGAAAAACACCAAACTCCTGGTTTAGGAATATTCTACAAAATCCCTGACCAGTCCTCCTCAAAACTGTCAACATGGCCAAAAACAAAGAAAGTGTGAGTAACTCATAGCCCAGAGGAGCCTATGGGACGTGAGAACTAAATGGCACATGGGGTCCTGGTGGGGGGGGCGGCAGCCTGGGGCCGAATGGTATCAGGAAAAAAGACTGTAGAAATCTAATAAACTGTGGGCTTAAGTCATTAATAATGTACTAATATTGGTCCATTAATTGTAACATGCATGCCAGTCTAATTTAAAATATTAATCATAGGAGAAACTGGGTGCTGAGTATATAGAAACTTTCTGTAATATGCGTGTAGGTGTCTATACATATAAAACTTCTCAAAAGTATTTTTCTCAAGTGTAGTTCCATTCAATATCATCGTGCACTAGTTTCAGGTGTGTGGCACAGTGGTGAGACAATCATACTTTACAAAGTGTCCCCCTGATATTTCTAGGGCCCCAGAGAGAGTTATTACCACATTGCCGACTATATTCCCTATGCTGTACTTTACACCCCCATGACTGTTTTGTTAATACCTGTCTGTACCTCTCAATCCCTTCGCCTTTTCCTCCAGTCCCCCAGCCCCTCTCCCCTCTGGCAACTATCAGTCTGTTCTCTGTATTTATGAGTCTGTTTCTGTTTTGTTTGTTTACATTGTTCTCTAGATCCCATATATGACTGAGATTATACGGTGTTTGTCTTTCTCTGACTGACTTATTTCACTTAGAATAATACCCTCTAGGTCCATTCATGCTGATGCAAATGGTAAAATTTCTTTTTTGTGGCCACCTAATATTTCATTGTGCATGCTGTATATGAACCATTACTTCTTATCCACTCGTCTGTTGATGGAGTCTTGGTTGCCTTCATAGCTGGCTATCGTACATAATGCTGCAATGAACACAGGGATTTATATATTCTTTTAAATTAATATTTTGGGTTTCTTTGGATACATCCCAGGTGTGGATTCACTGGGTCATAAGGCAGTTCCATTTTTAATTTTCTGAGGACCCTCCATACTGTTTTCCACAGTGGCTGCACCAGTCTGCATTCCCACCCACAGTGCAAGGGTTTCCCTTTCTCCCCATCCTCACTAACACTTGTTTGTTGTTCTGCTGATGATGGCCATTCTGACAGGTGTGAGGTGATGTCTCTTTGTGGTTTTAATTTGCATTTCTGTGATGATTGGTAATGTTAAGCATCTTTTTATATGTCCATTAGCCATCTGCATGTCCTTTTTGGAGAAGTATCTATTCATGTCCCTTGCCCATTTTTAAATTAGATTTTGTTTTGGTGTTGAGTTGTATGAGTTCTTTATAAATTTTGGATATTAACCCCTTATCAGATGTATCATTGGCAAATATGTTCTCCCATTCAGTGGGCTGTGTTTCATTTTGTCAATGGTTTCTTTTGCTGTGCAAAATGTTTTAAGTTTAATATAGTCCCATTTGTTTATTTTTTTGTTTCCCTTGCCTGAGGTGATATATCAGAAAAAAATACTACTATGAGAAATGTTGAAATGAAAGAAAAAAAGGAAATGTGCGAGATTTTACCGCCTGTGTTTTCTTCCAGGAGTTTTATGGTTTTGAGTCTTGCATTTAACTCTGTAATTCATTTTGAGTTTATTCTTATATATGGTATAGAAGAAGGTGGTTTAGGTGTTTTTTTTTTGCGTGTATCTGTCAAATTTCCCCAATGTTATTTATTTGAAAATATTCTATTTATTTATTTTTAGAGAGAGGGGAAAGGAGGAAGAAAGACAGGGAGAGAAACACTGATGTGTAAGAAAAACAATGATTGGTTGCCTCTTGCACACCCGAAGTGGGGACCTGACCCACAACCCAGGCATGTGCCCTGACTGGGAATTGAACTAGCAACCTTCTGGTTCACAGGCTGGTGCTCAATCCACTGAGCCAAACCAGCCAGGGCCCCAACAGTATTTATTGAATAGACTATCTTTACTTCATTGTATGTGCTTGCCTTCACTTAAAAATATTACTAATTGACCATATAGGTGTGGGTTTATTTCTGGGCTCTCTATTCATGTTCTTGTGTATGTGTTTTGTATGCTAGTGCCATGCTGTTTTGATTACTGTGGCCTTGTAGTATAGTTTGAAATCAGGTAGAGTGACTCCTCCAATACTGTTCTTCTTTTTCAAGATTGCTGTGGCTATTCAGGGCCTTTGGTCATTCTGTATAAATTTTTGGATTATCTGTTCTAGTGCTATGAAATATGTCATTGGTATTTTGATAGGACTTGCGTTGAACATACAGATTATTTTTGAGTAGTATGGATATTTTAATGATGTTAATTCTTTCTGTTCATAAGCACAGTGTGTGCTTCCCTTTATTTGTATTTTCTTTAATTTCTTTCTTCATATCTTATAATTGTCTGAAAACAGAGCTTTTACCCCCTTGGTTAAATGTATTCCCAGGTATTTTTTGATGTAATTATAAATGGTATTGTTTTCTTAATTTCCCTTTCTGACAGTTCATTATTTGTATGTAAGAACACAACCAATTTCTGGATATTTATTTTATATCCTGATAGTTTACTGAATTTATTAATTAGTTCTAGCAGTTTTTTTTCTGGTGGAATCTTTAGGGTTCTCTACACACACACACACACACACACACACACAAATGCTGCTGCCCAGCTGGGTGGCTCCTGGTTGCCATGTACACCAAAGGGTTGTGGGTTCAATCTCCAGCTGGGGTGTTTACTTGGAGGCAGCCGGTGTGTGTTTTTCTTTCACATCGATGTTTCTCTGTCTCTAAAATCAATAAGCATGTCCTCTCAGGTGAGGATTAATAAATAAAAAAAAAATTCAAATGCCACCAACTGTGCATTTGCGCCACTTTAATGCTTTGTTAGGCACAAATTTGCAGAATAAGACATGTCTCTCTGGTAATGACCAGACTGTTATTTGAAGCAACAGCTCCCACTGCCTGAGCTCGACCCATGAGCTCCAAGTTGTTTGCTCCCTGGGGGAATCATTTGATTCCAGGCAGGAGAGTTTGCAGAGTGCCCGGGGCTGCCCGAGGATCCAGCCGTGGGCATGCTGACTCAGGGAAGCACTCCAGTGTTAATTCACTTCTGCCACTCATCAGTGCCGGTTCAGCTGAAAGGGTGCTAGTTAGCCTGGGAAGGACGGTAGGATGCTCTCTCCTTCCTTTTCACAAACTCTTTATTCCCTTGCCTCTGTTCCACAGAGGGGATGAGCTGGTACCCTTGGCAGGGTGGAACTTATCCATGTTTCTTCCTTTTCCTCCTTCCCACCTTTTCCTATTTACCATGCATCAAGTGTTCTTTGAGCAACTACTCCCTTCCAGGTGCTTTGATGGGTCTTGGAGGTAAAGGCTGACTCGGATGTTGCCCTGCTCTCAAGGAGGTCCAGCTAGAGCAAAGGCCCCCAGAAAACAAAAGCATACATCCACACAAAAACTCATGCTCAATGTCCACAGTAGCATGATTCACAAGAGGCAAAAAGTGGAAACAACCCAGATATCCATCAGTCAATGAATGGATAAACCAAGTGTGGCCCAGCCACGTGCTGGAATATTATGCAGTCGTGAAAAGAAGCGAAGCACCGACTTACACTATAACATGGATGAACCTTGAAAACACTATGTTAAGTTAAAGAAGCCAGACACAAAAAGCCACCTACCTATGATTCCATTTATGTAGAATGTCCAGAACAGGCAGATTCAGAGACAGAAAGTGGGTTAGTGGTTGCTAGGAGCTGGGGAAGAGTGGGGGAGTGACTGCTAAGGGGAACAGGGCTCTGTTTTGGAGTGATAGAGATGTTTTGGAACTAGATAGAGGTGATGATTGCACAACACGTGAATGCACCAAATGCCTCTGAGTTGTGCATTCGAAATGGTTAATTTTAGGTGAATTTCACCTCAGTTTTTTTTTTATAAAGGCAAGCATCAAATAAAGTCAGGAGAAAGTTTTAAAGAGGCACAGGGGGGTGAAGAGTTAACTCACATGCTCACTTTATACATACCCTGCTCTGTCCCTCTTCTCTGTAGTTGCCACACCTGCTCTCAAGCGGGGGTGGGGGCAGGGCTGGTAACTCAAGAATAGGTCCAGGGTCCAGGAAACATA